TTGGCTCGGGCTCGTGTCTGGTCCAAGTGGTGTCGTTGGAGGTGTAGGTGCGTCCATGGGATGATCTTGGGATGCTCCGCATCACAGATAACCGAACTCCGCAAGGCGATCTAGTTGGCCTTGAGTCATGGTGTAGTTTTTTCACTCTCCCTCGAGGAGGCAGGTGGAGAGTGAGGACGAACCGGCGACAGGAGACATGTAAGCGGATCTCTCGATACAATGAGGGCCAACAAAATCGCTTGGTGAAGAGCGTACGCGAGAGACAGCTTGACGGTGGGGGATGTGAAATCACTATGTCTGGTTCCCTCGTCCTTTTATGTGAGAAATTTGGGAAACTCATGATGAGACATTTGAGTCCTGGGGCATAAGTCTCGCATGTTCCCCAGGCATCGTGCGTTGAAGCGCACACCAGAATCAAGGGGTGATTAATAGGACCACCCTGCGTGTCTTGGGCCACGATAAACTTTCCTGGTTGGATGTGTCGAAGGTGGGGTCACCACATGCACAAGCACGTCATATGTACCCTTGAGGTGACAACATGTTTGTTAAAATAAACTAAAGTTTTCAAAATGGGGCCATGGCACCGCTGAAACCGAGCAGCGAACTTTATCGATAAGGAAGCATTGTTCGAAATAGGGGATCTTTGCATTCGAGAAATTCTCCGGATAAGGAATGTTCTCGTTAGGAGAACACTAAACAATATCTTAGACCTCACTCAAGAAAGGCATACCCGAGGTATACGACTCCTTGACCAATATAAACAACTCTGGAGATTGCGGTTAAACCAGCTTTATCGTCGGGATGTCATCTTCGCACGAGAGGAAGGCTTCACCAGAATTATCGTAGCTTCAGATTGTCTTTCGTTGGTTCAGCGTGTGGCGTCGGGCGTCACTAAACGTTCTCTCTGCAGCCCAGTTGTTCGTGATATAAGCTCATGGCTACTGCTTTTCGAGTCATGTGTGTTTCGCCATGTTTGTCGTGGATTGAATGTTGCTTCTCACTGTCTAGCTAGGTCCCCTGAAAACTCTGTTAATTCTGTATGGCATGGTGTTATTCTGAACTGGATCCAGTAGTTCTTTTGTAATAACTTCATGGTTACGTGATCAATAAAGCGCAACTTTCTCTCCCAAAAAAGGGTTGAACTAGCTTGCAAGACCAAAGGCAAAGAGAAGCTCGCAGGACCGAGGAACTTCCATGGATTGAAGATCGATTCAAGGGCTACTGATAGAGTCCAGAATTAGAGGGTGCTCGACGTGTTAACTGGTGGGCCTCGTTCGTCCAAGAGCATCAAGAAGGAATGACCCGAAGATTTGACGCGTACTGCAAGGCGTAGAGGTAGTCAACGGCACATTTGCCCAAGATACAACCAACCTATTTGTAACCCTAGACACCGTCCCAAGATACAGTCGACCTATTTGTAACCTAGACACCCCGGTATCTATATAAACCGCGGTACGGTACCGTAGAGGACAGATTCATTCACATACGATCTCCCAGTAAACCACCTGTACTTTGTACCCCACCCCATCCATAATCAATTACCTATTCGAGAGGGTCCGGACCCGAATAAATATCGGTGTCCCCTTGTATCATGTTACCATCTAGCCAAGACTACCAGATCGAGACCCCTTACCTAAGTTCTACCGGCTTTAGCTCCGACACCAATGAGATCGCTCGTCTACGACTTGGCGCCACGGCCACCGCGGACGACAGTCACCAAGGCACTCTAGTGTAACTTTATGTGTTATGCATAGTTGTTAAATCTACCAAACACCGTGTAGTGCATCAACCCAGCCAAACCAAACATCAGGCAAAAATTACTCCCCTGATGCAGCCAGCCTATATGAAGACTACCAAAGGACCAACTGAGTCACATAAGCAAGGAGGTAAAAAAATGATGCGGACTACCAAAGGTTTCTACTTCCTTTGAACGAGGCCACCTGCGACCTCGACTGAGCAACACGCATGTGCAACACCACTTAGGGTGTGTTTGGTAGTTATTCCCACCCTAGTATAGTTGTTCCCCTTTGAGACATGCTTAATCTAGACATGACGAGTACATGCATCTGCAGTTGTTTGGTAGCAATGTATGTACTAATGCATGTTGAGCTAAGACTGTGTTTGGTAGCCTGCATCAGACAAGACATGGTGTGCTGATACGGTGTTTGGTAGCCTATATGAGGTAGGCTGCATGAACGAATCTTTTGCCATACGTTCGATGAGATAATCTAAACAATTCAAGCAATAAAACATTACCACGCCAACATAATCTGAATGATGATAATGTGAAGAAAAAAAATCAACAATCAACATAAGACATAATAACCATGAATTGTAGCAGTGCATCACTAGATTTATATTACATTAGACATAATAACCATAAATTCTAGTAGTGCATCAGTAGATTCATATTACATAACCTCATTCGAAATGCACTTTATAATAGTCATTACAAAAAGGATAGTCTCAACAAGCACCAACTAACACGAACTCAAAGAAGATTAGGATTAGCTTTCAAGATACATTTGAACGATGCTTTACGAACTTCATCATTCATCTTCACAAAGTTAAGACCTTTTGCCTTATGTTCTGTGAGATAATCTAAAACAGTTAAGCGATCATTTTGATCAAACATAGTAAGGTCCATGACAGCCTTGTACAAGTCAGGGTGTGTTTCAGCATGGCAAGTCTTGTTGATAGCACTTGCAATCTCACGCATAGCATCAATCATGTCGCTGCACTGGATTGAGTCCTCAGTCAAACCTGATGCCCTCTTTCTCTTCTTATTTGAAGTAGGTGAAGGGTCCTGAGTGGCACTGGTTTGATGCCCTCTTTCTCTTCTTATTTGAAGTAGGTGAAGGGTCCTGAGTGGCACTAGCAGTAGGAAATACGAAGTTAAACCCAGAAAGATGTTGCAATACCTCATCAGTTGTTCCTTGCCCCTCGACATTGGGTTTATTTTTGTCTTCCACAACAATAGGCGTTCCCAGTGGCACACCGGTGGCCATTGCATAATTCCCGATGGCTTGCTTATTAGCAAAGCAATTTTCCATATAGTTGTAGTTCACAAGTGAGGAATTGAGCAATTCAGCATCTGCTGGATGATCCTACAACACCATTGTTTGAACATAAGTAATTAACAAAGACGTCATTTCAGCAATGAAGCATCATCATATGACCAAAGTAATTGACTACAACATCATTTCAGCTATAAAATCTATTCATTTCCAGAACTACCATCTTCTCATCATCCCAGAGTGCCCCATTTAAACCCTTCAAATAAACAATCCTTCATTTTCTTGTAAGCATACAATCCAGCCACTAGACCAACTCCTCTCACAATTAGTTGTCTTCGTTTTCTTGCCAATTCATCCATCTGTGACAATACAAACAAATAACAGAAAACTTAGCACACCATAATTTTTTCTATACAGCAACAAGGGCTCTTCCCTGTTCAAGGTCCCGAGCCAAGGCAGGAAGACAGGGTAGGGGAAGGAAGAGAGGAGGGCGGAGGAAGGGAAGGAGGGGGCGGATCTGCTACCTCTCCCGTGTCAGGATCTACTCCGACGACGGCAGCGAGTTGAGGCCAGCCAAGAGCAAGGGCGGGCCGGCGGCCAGTGGAGGGCCGACCGAGCACAAGGGTGGGCCGGCAGCGAGGTAGACACCTTCAGCAAGGCAACGGGGAGATCGAAGAAGGGGACTGGCGACAGGGTAGGTAATCACCAGCAGCTAGGTCGAGGAAAGTGGATCAAGATGAGAATTTTCTCCTATACCGTCTCAGCCTCGCTCGCTCCCATTGTGCAGTCTTAGCCTCGCTCGACCCGGCAGGCCTGTCTGGGGTGCTTTGACTCAGCTATGCTGAGGCCCTTTTTTGCATCGGTTGGGCTATGCTCAAGCGAGCCCGCGCACTCTACCAAACAAGCAAAAGTGGGCCGGGTAGGGAACTTTTTGGCCTATACACTATGCATGCTACCAAACAACCCTTAGGGCCAGTTCTTTTGGGCAATTCTCCAAGAATTGACCCCCTCCCCAGCTTCTTCCAGAATTGCCACTTCATCTTTTTTTACAATTTCTAGCTAGTTAAGATCTAATTAGCCAGGAATTGTAAGAAAATATAGTGGCAATTCTGGGAGAAGCTGGGGAGGGGGTTAATTATCAGAGGATCTTCTATATCTAAATAGCTAACCCTCACTAACATATTTCTCTCAACATGCAAGTATGCCACATCATCAAGCAACATGCATGGCAAAAGGCCCACCACAACATGCATTCATGCACATGAAAATGTCCACCTCAACATATGCCGTGGGGATGTGTCCTCATAGCTGCAGTCGTACGTCCAGTCCACGGTAAACGAACCACCCGGGCGTCGAGCAGAAGGTGAAGTCTGGCGTACAAGCTCGCACTGCCACCAGAAATCGAGCAGAAGGTGGGAAATCTGGTGTACAAGCTAACACTGCCACGGGAAAGCCGTATCCACCTGGTATTCTGTCTCCCAGCATTCGCGCCTGATTACACGCTCGTCTTCTCCGAGCTTCCACGGGCACCTGATTTGACAGAAACTACCCCTGCTTAGGGAGGCGATTTTGAATCACCGTATGGTCAAGAGGGGCACCTCCGCCATGGTCCAACTCACAGTACACTGGTCTTCACTCCCGAAGACAACGAGGTGCTTCGCCAGCTGTTCCCATCGGCGCCAACCTGGGATGGGGCTCCTCAGCGGTTCCCATCAGCGCCAATCTGGTATGGGGTTCCTTCTCGAGACGAGGGCAATGTCACACTGGCACTTCAAAGTCAAGCACCGACCCACACCCCATACGGGTCATCACACTTCCACGGTGTGGGTAAAAATCACACGCTTCTACAACAAAACCTGTCTAAGGTAGGAACATCAGAGGACATCGAATCACCAAAAAAACACTCGAACCCATGGAACATTCTCGCTCCAACAAACCACTTGCTTCTGGGGTACCTGGGCACAAGGAACAAGGGAAGAAATACTATTCTCTTTTGTCCTCTTCAGCCTCATCATCTTCCAAGCTGAAAGCACTGCTAACACCAGCATTTCTGTCTTTGTCGATCTTTACCATCCCCACATCACCATCAGACCCTTTTGTCAGAGACTGAGCCTCATCATCGTCATCGTCGACAGTTTCGCCTGAATATGCATATCTGGACAAAGGAATCATGTGTTAGTTTGAGAGTAACTCCTAGTTAACCGTTTTCTTACGACCTACACCCTCAGTTCCTAGATATAAGATGTTTTGGCAGTTCAATTTAAACTGCCAAAACGCCTTACATTTATAAACAGAGGTAGTACTTAAACAAACCTAGACTATGCCTCTTATACATAGTGAACACCTAGATTATGCCTCGTATACGTAGTAAACACCTAGATTATGTCTCTTACAAGGCTCCAGACCATTGAAGAAGCAAAATATCTACCTTTGTGAGCTTTGGGAAGGTGCCCACAAATAACATATCACAATAAGCAAAACAAATGCAAGAACGTCCCAGAAGGCTGTTATGATCCAGGCACTCTGCCATCTCTCACTAAAGGGATCTGTTGCTTTGAAATAGACCTGCAAAACGAAGCCATGATAAGACGACAGGTACCAAAAATCAAGGCAAAGACCTTCAGATTAATTAAGATAGCTTAGTGACTGTTGATCAATGATCAGCTAGAAGAACTCATTTTGCAAACAGACCATAATGAAAATTTTGTCTCTCGAGTTCACAACAATACTTGGCACAAACAACGCCAGAAAATGGTGAAGATAATAGAGGCTCATAAATTTGCATATTTTCGACTAATCTATCAGCCTATGAACAATGCCACATGCATGTGATGAGGATCAAAACTGCATACTGCCCATCAATCTATTTCATTTCATGCCTTTGGTAGCCAGAGTAATAAGCATATACGAGCGAAAGCTCATTCATTTAGACACACATTAAAAAAAGTCAACACAAAAAAAAACATCACAGTTTTCACCAAGGAGACATGTTGATATACAATACCTATCACAATCTTGAATTATTAAACTAATCTTTCTTCTACAACTTATCGGGTGTCTTATAAGACTACTGACGTGTGATACATATTATTCAAAATTTGCAATCCTGGCAAACATTTGAACTTCCTAAACATAGAGTTACAATTTTAGACAACTGATGTTCAGCTTTGGAAACCAAGGGCCTGTTCGGATCTCCTCCGGCTCCATGCTCCGCGAAGTCCGTGTGCGGAGCCGGGTCAAACATTTGAACTTCCTAAACATAGAGTTACAATTTTAGACAACTGATGTTCAGCTTTGGAAACCAAGGGCCTGTTCGGATCTCCTCCGGCTCCATGCTCCACGAAGTCCGTGCGCGGAGCCGGGCCAAACGACCTAGCTCCAAGAAGCCAGCTTCGAGAAGATGTCCCGGGCTAATTTGGAGGAGTCGGAGAAGCTGGGAAATCCCAGCACCACGAGAGTTGATGGAACGCCTCCCTCACACCGTCAAGTGGAAAATGGACGGTTCGGTAAATTTCAGCCAAATTATGCTGGACTGCCACTAAAGTGGTCAAGCCGGCCTCACCCCACTCAACCAGCCTCCTGTTCGTCACTCCAGGGCGCTGCTACCATCCCGCAACCTCAACAACGCCCAGCCGCCACCCCGCCTACTTCCTCCTCCTCGGGTGCAGCCAGATCCAGCGGCACGCCTAACCCCACCAGCCAATCACAGCACGAGCATCATCATCAAACCGCATCATCATCAAACCATTGAGTGTAATCATCAAACCGCTGAGGTATAAGCAGACAGCGCCTCATGGTAAGTGGGAAGAGCCTCCTCATAGGCCAAGACCTGTTGGTCGTAAGCACGAACCGCAGCCTCATCAGCAAGCTTAGCTGCATCCTTAGCAGCCCAAGGAACATCCACAGCAAGAGACGGTGGCGTCAGCGGAATAGGAGTCACAAGAGGGAACCAAGCATGGCGGGCAGGGGACCTCGCCAAAAAGAACACCGCAGAGACGAATGCCACGCATATGGATGTCTATAAAGGCAACGAACTCGGTGTACTTAGTACCCTAAAAAATCATCTGGCAAGGATGGTGACATAGCCCGACAATGTAGACATCCTTTTTTTATCCTCAACCAATTCAAGGCAAAATAACGAGTGAGGAAGCAGCCACCCGAGCGAGGAGGCCCGACCCAGCCGACTCAGCCCAGCCAAATGAGCTAGGAAGCATCAAGTGCCGGGCAACAAAATCCGGCAGGAGGCGCCGAAATCCGGAGGAAGACTGGTGGGCTCCTGCAAGGGACGGCGAAATCGGGCAGCATTTGGGCGGGATCCGATGGGATGGGGATGGCCCAACGGGATATGGCAAGTGACAACTAAAAGGCATGATCCGGCGGGCGGCAGGTGGAGTTGACTAGGGCGGCAGGATCCGACGAGGTGGAGATGACCCGAGGGCAACCTCCAAGGCAGCGTAATCCAGCAGGGAATCAGTGGGGCGAAGCAGAAGCCATCCGGACGAGCAGAGGGGGCAATGGCGGTTGACCAGACGGTGTGAGGTGAGCATCACGCGAACATGCGGGTTGAGAAAAACAGTGATGACTGGCCAATACACTCGGACAACAAAAGGCAACGGCGGCGCGAGATCATATCGCAAAAGCACGAGTTGCGTTGCACACGGGCTCTAATACCATGTTAAGAAATATGCAACTTTTGCATGTAGTAAATATGCAGGAAGGCCTTATACAATAGGAAAAATACACAGGCTATACGTGGAACATAATATAACTCTTAACAGTCGTGACCAACACGATCGAGGAGCCCCACTTATCATGAAAATATTTAAACGAATTACGTAAAACAATTTGTACTCCAAAATTTTCTTAATAAAACAACCTATACTTACCTAATACTGACGGCCAATTCCTATACATACACAACTAGGACTCTCCATAAGTGACTACTGCTTCTTTTAATTAACTATATATATAAATACATCCTACCACCCTGAGGTAGTTACCCCACATGCGGACACGGATTTTTGGGACATGGTGGCAAGCGAGGATGGAATCTAGGCAGTCCATCCATGCTATAAGATTAGGAATTAATATAGTGATTGAAGGAATACCCAAATGATATGTCAGGTTAATTCGGCAAATACGCGTACATGTGTTGGTAGCTAGCCATCTTAAATGGAGCTGGATACACACGCATGCACATGCAAAGTACGGTCCTGACTGTTATGTCGTGTTAATGTGACACAGACAATTTAAAATGCTGGTCGACAGTGTTTAAAGGTGGATGTCTTGAATACGTACGCCTTGAATGGCATTTAACAAGTGTGGCCCTTCCGTTTTTGTTCTGGTTTGTTTTGCCCAAGTTCTTTTTGCCTGTGCATAATTGAGGTGTACTGCTATATTCGTTCATCAGATCTATGCGTTCATGTTAATGGTGTAGTATTATCTCGCGGATGATGGATACCTCCCTAAGAATGAATGTAAACAACATACACGCATTGCGGTAATGAAAACATTCACGGGAAGGTAACGCAAAACAGGTCTTTGGTTCTGAAAGTTAGGCATGATAGAATTAGCGCAGGCAACTGGAATACTCCTACACTGTATAACCTTCTTCAACCTGCTAGCTGGGAGAAGATAGAAGGTGACCATGGCATCAAGCTCCAGCGACAGCAGAAGGTTAAGCGTCTGTTAATGTTTTCTACTAGCAAGACCTCTGAGAACATACCCAGCCATTACATTCAAGGCAGCAGATCAGGGGAGAGAACACCCTCGTCGTTCTGTCCATTTAGTAGAGTTGATTAAGTAATGTGAGACATACAGGAGGAGCACTTGAGACTGCGAGAACTAGGGAAGAGGATTACTGAAAGGGCTGCGGGATGCAGACTAGTGGTCTTCTCCAAATAAATGAAAAATTAACTCCTCTCGTCAGATTGGTGGGCCACGATCACTAATTGACTTTAGGAATACTTTGCCCTAAGAAATGCATATACCTGACGAGTGTATTACAACTGCACGAATCACGCGGGAATGGGCGGGTGTGATATCGACCTCGCGTGGCACCATGTCCACTCGTGATTTATCGCCCCATATGCCTCATATATATCAATTTATCATTTTAAATATGTTCATATACTATATCTAAGATATTTCAAAACAAGTTACATGAAAAAATTGCATATGAGCCCATAGTTTTTGTTATATTTGTGAAATACGTACATGTACGTAAAAAAAGTATGCTCAAAATATGATACATACTACCTAAAAAGTAGTATATATACTCCCTCCGTTTCTTTTTACTCCGCATATAAGATTTGGTCAAAGTCAAACTACACAAAGTTTCACCAAATTTATATATAAAAATATGAACATCTACAATATTAAAACTATATAGTATGAAAATACATTTCATGGTGCATCTGATAATGTTGATTTCATATTGTCAATGTTTATATTTTTTAATATAGAGTTAGTCAAACTTTACAAAGCTTGACTTTGACCAAATCTTATATGCAGACTAAAAAGAAACGGAGGGAGTACTACCTAAACATTGCTATATACTACATACTACACAGTACATACTCTCAGTTATACTACATACAACATACAAAACGCAAGTGGTGGTAACTACCACTGATGGTAGTAAACATTTGTATAAGCATACATACATACATACATACTCCCTCCGTCTGGAAATACTTGTCATCAAAATGGATAAAAGGGTGTGTGTGTGTGTGTGTAGGGAAAATGGATTCTGCCACCTAGTGGTAACTACCACCAAAGAATCCACCGTTAGATCTGAGCGTGTTTTTTTTCTTAGATCACCAGAGTCATGGCGGGTTAGACTAGGTTCCACCAACCCGTTTGGTATTATATTAATTATATTTATAGTAGATTAGTTGGTACTTATCCACGGCGTACTGATCGTGAGCTTATCCCATAATTTGGCTAGGTATATAACTACCATCGAACAACCTTGCTAGCTTTTAGATATCGATCTGGCCGGCCGGCCGGCCGCATACATGCACCGATAAATGATCGTCTTTTGTCCCTCAATCTACACAAAATTTGTTTTGACCACCGATGTTGACTGCAGCCAACTGGATCAGGAGGAGGAGCTCGGATACATGTTTTAACAGATCCATGCATCATCAAAGCATTCATACTGTTCTTGATTGGTTTCATTTTGACAGATTCTTGATTGTTTTCTTATTTTTTCTGGCTTCTGTAGTCACCTTTTTTTTTGCGAGAGGCTTCTGTAGTCACCTGCAGCCATGTGTACATGGTACTATGATTCATTACGGCGAACGCTGCCTGCTCCCGCGCGGCATGGAGACGACGATGTATGGCTTCATCTCTAGCACGGCGACAACATATGGTTGGTTATCATACTCGGCGCCAACAGCGATGATAGATTACTTCTCCGGATTGGTGGCGGGTGGCGGCCACGACGACAAAGAGTTGCGCCGACATGGCTGCTCCAACGTGGTGGACGGCGGCAACGACGACGAAAACTATACACCAGTTCTGACTTCGCCGGCGTCCTCGCGGCGGCAACGACGACGAAA